CAATGAAGGCACAAAATAAAATCAAACTGAAAGAACAGTTGTGCAACAGTATGAATAGAAGGCATACCTGTGGGGTATAGCACTACTTCTGGAACAAGTATGCTCTTCACTCAGTAAAGAATGCAGTAAGACAAAGAGGGTTGAGTGGAATAGGCTGGCATCTATTTGCATTCAGGAAAGAAACATACAGCACCAAATCAGTATAGAAGTACTGTAGAACATGACCTGAGGCATCATGATGTATACAACTTGAATAATCAAGTGTGGAAGCAAGAACGGCTCATATATAAGTAAGCACCAACATTAAGTCCTCAGGTTACATTGGATTATGACAGTCCATCCAGGTAAAATATCCAGCATAAATGCCTTGTATAAGATATTGTGATCAATAAGTGCAGTCTGCCTGGGCAAAAACATCCAGAGGAAATGCCTTGGGATATGATGGATCATGCCAAGTGTGGTCCATTCAGGGGAGCACCTTGGGATATGATGGATCATGCCAAGTGTGGTCCATTCAGGGGAGCACCTTGGGATATGACGGATTATGACAAGTGTGGTCCAACCGGGCAGAAAACATCCAGTGGAAGTTCCTTGCAAAAGAGTTATGTGATAAACAAGTGCAGTCCACCTTTGCAACACCCTGGGGGAAGTGCCTTGGATATATATGATTATGTGAAGTGCAATCCATCTGGGCATAAAACATCTAGTGGAAGTGCCTTGCATAAGTATTTTGTGAACAGGTGTGGTCATCCCGGGCAAAAACAATGATTATAACAAATGGGTACATGATATATAAATTCAATTCTTGTTTATTGTACAAAACCCACTCAAGAGGAAACTTCCTCGGTCCACCACTCAGACACCTGGAAACTGGAATTAGCAAGGACTCCCGTGCTCTACTGGAAGAGAGGGGGAGTATACATGTTAATGAGTCCAGAGGAATGACACACCTGAGACAGTATAATGAATGTCTGCAATTTTCTATTCAGAAAAGCAGAAAGACCCCAATTGTAGGAATCATGGGTCAGCAGGGACTGGCAGAAATCCCTATCTGCTTTACTTACGAATTCGATGACTGATGATCTTTTATATACTAAAGAGTGTAAATATACATACACACAGACATACCACCGGAAAAGCACCTTGTGGTCTTACAGAAACACCACATCTCAACGGTGAGCATTAGATAATGATACAGAGTTAGTTCACACATTATATTAAGCATACCTGACTAGGCAACATCCACTACTAGGTGGGATCCTGAAATATGATGTACAGCAACTAAAGAAAATAAGTAATAAAAAAATAAATCAAATTACCCCAGTTAAAGGCAAACAGACGTGTATAGAATCACCACAGGAAGAAGACAGTACTCGACTGAGGAAGACAGCTAGATTGTGCAGATAATTCATGATGAATGTATTGGAAGTTTTCCACATACCAGCCTCAACAATCTCCTCCAAAGGTTGGTGGACTCGAGCAGCAAAAAACATAAATAAATGATGAATTTGGTGTGAAGAAACATTGTGTAGATGATGAACCTCCTAAACAAGTCAAATGCAGAAGCCATGACAAATGGACCAAAATCCAAAGGAAGACCAACACCTTTGGAACACAGACAAAGAGAAAGGTCAAATGATACAAGCAAGAACAAAACATAGATATTTGTAGAGTCAACAAAGACCATGAAAATAACAAACCTGTAAAACTCTGAAATTGGACCTAAAACATAAACAAATAAGCAATGCCTAAAATAAAAACCACTAAAGGAACTTAGAAGAGAAAAGACACATAAATATCAAACTTATAAGTCCACTCAAAGAACTGAGAAGACAAAGGACACGAAAGTAAAACTTACCCTGAAGAAAAATGCAACCAATTAACAATAAAATTTATTTTATTTTTGTTGAATCTAGTCACCAATGAGATGTAACTAGTAGTAAAGAAAAAGGAACTTACAAACTAACATAAACGGGGAAAGGAAGTATAAATAATGAACCAACACATCCACGAAAGTGGCTGAAGTTACAATTAGCCAAACAGTAACGATTATGCAAAACCTTACCAAAATACCAAGCAGAGAAGACATGAAAGACCAAAATTATAGCATGAGGAAATATAGCCAATCCACATAAGCTAACATAAACTCGCTAATCATGGGTATAGTTACAGGGAATAAGGAATACACACTGAAAAACTTAGCACCCAGATCTCCTGGGATGAAGAACAATACCTAAACTAGGAGATTATGTAGAGGTATGGAAACAGGAGAAAAGTATCGTAGAAAGAAATTTCCACAAAGTAATTACAACCTTCCTCACAAAATGTAATGAAAAAGTTGTTGACCAAATGAAGACAAAAACTCCTCGCAAGCTAAAGCCTGTGCTTCTGCAGCAGGAATCATCAACCGTGAGAACTGGAGACTGTCTACTATGGCAGGAAATTCACAATCCTCCATATTAAATCTCAAATTCATACAAACAAATTTGGATATGGAAAACAGAATTATTTCTAAAACAAATGAATAAAAACAATGAAAATCAAACACAAGAAGTTGATGCTTGAAATTGAAACTGATAGAAATTTGTTATTAAGCATAATCCAAATTTTGTAGCACATGGACATGTTTTTTTGTCTATACATTAAAATGTCAATCTAGAAAGTGAGGATTGTGTTAAAATAGTAGACGCTAGCTGTGCTAGTATAGATGGCCCAGTAGGATTGGTGGAGGATACTCACATGACCATCACATTCTGAAAATGCACAAAACTGATGAGGTATAAAAGACTGGTGTGATAGGTGAAAAACCTTTTTAGCAATGCTCAGAGGGAAGATCAGGATCCAAAAAGCTTTTGATTGAAAGGAGGTAAAACTGTTTTGGAATTATAAATATTTCACTCCCAATACAAATATTCAAAATATGTTACAATGTTTACTAATCTCAGCTTATTAGATACAAAAGAATTTGTTCAACATAACAAGATTTTGTGGATAGAGTTTGTCAATAGTTCTCTGACATTTAAGACTACTATTCATAACCAACAGAAAGCCAAAGTTTTTCTCTATCAAATGACATATTAAGTTATGTTATTGTCTGTACTGGGAATTGTCTGTTTTCCTTCCAGTTCAAACTTCATTCCCACATTAAATACATTAACGAGTTTACCTTAATTTTTAACGGTTTTTGTTGAACAGTAAAAAATGCCAGAAAAATTATGATAGTTATGGAACATTGTTTCCTTTTTGTATGTTATTATTTTGTGTTCTTTGATGCATTATTTAATTAAATTAATGCAGTAGTACACCTAGTATAAAAAGTAGGGTTAAGTTTCATTGACAGTTGAGAGCAAAAAAAAATAAACACAGATAAGTACTTTGTTTTTTTTTGAAGAGTATTCTTTATTTATTTATTATTATAAATTAAATTAAATGTAAGAACTGAAAATTTTTTAGGTTAGATAAAGTGAAGTACACTCGTAAGTAGTTTGCGCATTATGTAATTTAATACCATAACACGAGCTACGTTCACCACAATTTGCAATTTATATGGCATGAATAGTAGTTAAACATGACTCAAAGGGCAATAAAACAATAAAGTTTATGTATAAATAGGTGTATACTGTTATAAGCTTTAACTACTTTAGAAAACCACTTGTGGATTTCTATTACAATTTGCAGTTGTTACAGAGAGAAAATAGCAGAAATTTATAATTATTTCCTAATTTTTTTGTGATGGTTACAAGGTTGATCAAATCAATAGACTTCATATTGAGTTAGGGTGAAAAAATAACAGTTTAAATATAAAGTTTTCTGAAAGAAAAAACATTTGATATTTACTTACGAGGTTTTAGGGATTATGCAAATAATATTTGAAAATTTTCAGGTGAAGAAAATTATTTTTAATCTTATGAAAATTACTTTGCATTCATAAAGGAAAACAAAAGGCACTGTAAATTGTAAATAAAAGTTTTTCATTGAACATTAACATGCTCTTATCCACTTGTAAAAAGTAGACATGTAGTGTACATTGTAAATAAAGTTTTTCATTGACAGTGAAGTGCTTTTTTCCCTTCTTTTTTGAGTTTATTTAATTCTACCTATGGGACCCTTGAACATTTCACTGGGACTCTTGAAAAAACGTTGAGAGTCCAGGAACCCTCACTGTGGGACCCTAGTTAGAACCCTGCATAAAGCATGGCCATTGTATTAAAATATTTTCTACAGAAAATAAGTAACTTTTGAATGTTTTTCTCAATATTCAAGTACATTTACAATTGTTTTTCTACTTTACACATACCTGAGACAGTATGATGCTGTTAGCCATGCACTGATCCAGTAATATGCAATTTTTTCCAACTGCTAAACAAAATTACCTTGTGTAGCAATTGCTGCTATGCAGAATGTTTGAAACAAATTATCCCTTGATTTGTAGTGGAAATTTAAGGTCACAGTTAAAAATATTTTATTTTCAATTAGTTATTACTATGATTATGTTATGACTTAAAACCAGTTAAACACATCAACAATCGAAGCTTTGAAATTAAACACCTGTGTAAAGATAAGCTCTATAGACTTTGTACGTGCAAATTATTTTTAACATACTTCATTATACTATGCACAATACTCTGTGCAATAACTAGATCTTTACGATCTTAACTGTTATGTCACAAAAATATTCTTTGAATGCTCTACTGGATAAATACTCCATCTTTTTATTAACTTAACAAAGCCCATGAAAAACGTTTAATTAAATTTCTTGGTAAATCTGAGGCACTGTTACCCACCTAAAAACAAGATTACATATCCTTATGTATATAAATACTATAAATTAAACATTGGTCCTTAAATCACTTTGTATACAGAATCTTGCACAAGCAATTATTAAACAATGTCTTTATAAGCTCTTCACTCCTTTGAGGAAAGTTTATGGTTTTTCATCTGAATGTGATAATTATTTAAAGCTACAGTATTAATGACTTGACATTAATAATTAAACTTACTGGCAAATCTTCTGTCCTGATAAATCGTGCCTGTCCAATCAGCCACCTGTCCAAAGGTAAATACAATACAATTTCAACACTTTTATCATATAGTTTGATAAGTTTTAAATCTAAAATGCTACTGATTTCTGTATATATTTCAATAAATTGGGATTATTATCAGGAAGCACTGCATTCCATAATTAACTGTAATTTTATTGAGTGAAAATAAAAAACAATAGTTGGATTTCAGTTTCAACTCTTCCAACTGAATAGATATTTTAACCATGTGACCCATATTCAAATGCTTTAAGTCTTAGTTTCCATTTTCAAAAATTATTGATATAATTGCAATAAATGAATTAAATCATAAAAAGATTACAACAGACCATCAGAACCATAGTTGTTCATACCAAAACAAAGAACATCCAAAATCAGCCCAATTTTATCAACTAAAAAAACTATATCACAGCTTAATAAATCTAAAGTATAAATAATACCGCATGAGATCAAGTCTTGATCATGGTTTCTAATTTGACACTCAATATCCCCAATATCAAAGTACCTATTAGCAACTTCTTAAATCAAGAAATAAAAAATTACTCTACAAATGATAAACACAAAACTCCTACAGTGGGAGAGAGATTTTATTACTGTTTGACAAACTTCCAAACACTATTAGAAAATAAAACTTCTGACAAATATTTATATTTATTACATACTTTTTCATTAAACACATAATCTGATGAAAAATTATTCTTCCAATTACCAAAACTTTAGGCTTGGGATTTTTCATCTATGCTATTCAGCGAAAACACTAATAAAAAACTACTTAATACTATACCCATTTTCCCTTTCTGCAGGTACAAAGACATACTTAAGGACTCATAAATTGTTTTTTAGAACTTCCATGAGTTTTCCATGTACTGAAGTAAGTGCAGAGGAAAAATTATCAGATTAACTGGACAGATCTGTGGAACAAATTTAATCTTAAAATGCCCAGTGCTTTACTCATTTATTGCACCTGTCATATGGGTTGTTTTATTGCAATGAAAAAAAAGATATTACTTTCTACAGATTATGCAACTTCTGTAAAATAAACTTTTTATAGGTGACATTTCAATGAATCTTCATATTTTGAAATTCTAAAATATTTCATTGTGCAACGTTTTTTAGGAACGATGAAAAGTGGTTACCTTTGTTGTAGATTTTAATCACCGATTTTAATGTTTTACATTTTTGTGAAGCTTTCCAATAGTTTTTATTTTATAAATCTTTAAAGTTTGTCTTTGTTTTGATTTTTAAAAAACCATACAGTTTTCTTCATGCTTATAATCACTCACAGTCAATAAAAATAACTATCCAAACAAAATTATAAAAAAGCGTATTTCTTTTTAATTGTTCATTTGAATGTTTTTCATTTAACACATTAAATAAGTTTTAAACCTGTTTTATATCATTTTCTATACAACTTTTCTATATATTTTAATTTCATTTTTGTACATCTGAGGAATGACTAAAACCTAATGTGAACATGGCCTAACAAACAGCAGTATTGTTGGCAAAACAAAGCTTGATATAGCTAAGTACAAAAGGTTCTAGCATTTATTTTCACATCATACTGCAATTTCAAAACTCAATTGAAACACAAATGATAAGGTAAAATTTTTACAAGCTATAAAAAATAATTCAGGACTGTAACTGAGGCAGAAGTTGTTTACAATCATCATTTCTTCTAACAACAATAACATACTACCAAGCTAAGCTTTTACCACTTTGTTGCAATCTCTACACAAATCTCCACTGAACTAGAAGTGATATTTGCTTATAGAGTTGAATAAAGCAAAAAAAAAGAACTTTTATTGAATGTTTAAATTAACAGATTACAACTTCTAAGAAGCTGAGATAAGCAGTTTAAATTAAAGAGGCCAACATTCATAAGGCAAATGCAATGTCTCCACCACACAATTCTAACATGGCCAATTTTGACACCAGCAAAATTGTGAAAAACATAGAGAAATTGAAAATTGTTTATATCACTGCTTGTGAAGAAGATATCTCTGTACCAAATCCCATGTAAGTTGGTTGACATATAGATAAATAGTTCAGGAAAACCCCAAAGTGTACTTTTCTAGCTTAAAAATTGAGTAAAAGATAACATTTTAAAAGCTATCTATATCTCTATTTGGTACCTTTAAAAATTATCTTTGTACCAAATCCCTTGTAAATTGGTCAAAATACAGATGAGTAATTGTTAAAAAACCATACCCCCATTAATTTATAAAAATGGGGAAGTCCAACATTTTTGTTTGTCAATATGGCTGAGTAATTGACCAAAAATTATGCTCTTTTTGAGAGCTCTGACTCCCCTTAAAAAGACACAAAATGGGCAAATCCAACTTTTTTGTATATCAATATGTTGAACACATGAACATTTATATTTGTGCCAATATTCATCTTAATTGCTGTAAATTTAAATGCAAAGGGGCCCAAAATATATATTTCTTGGTTGTTTGACCTTTGACCCCCCTAAAGTCCTTACAAAACCTAAACCAAAAAAATTGTCTGAACATTTTGGAACAAGGTATAACCCTACCAAGATTAAAGTCAATCTGCCAAGAAATGAAGGAATGGTGGTTGACTGAAAAGTGTTTGGAAGAAGGAGAAAGAAGAAAGAAAGAATAGCAAAACAGTATGTCTCACTGCAGAAACATAACACCATGAAAATCAAGGTCGACAAACAGTGACTCTTATTGAAGTTATTGTAGTTACATGGTGAAAATGGGGTAGGTTCAGAGCTATTCCATTAGATGCCTCCAACATGCTACTGATTTATTCTATGCTTATACTTTACTACAGTGGTATTATGAGTGTCATCTTAATTGAGCTTTACAACAAGAAATTGGCAAAATATGAAAAGTTTAGACTATCTCATCTGAGAAAAGAACAAAAACGAGAAGTAAAATTATGAGGGCAAAAAATGTATGCTATCTCAACTGAGAAAAGAATTAATTATTAGTGAAGAATTGAGCAGGGCAAATATTGGAAATATATTTGACAAGGGAATTGAGTATATCTCTCAACTATTAAAAAGAACTTCAGCTTCTCTCATTTATACTTTCATTTAAAAATTAATTGTTTTTAACTCAAGATATGTATGTTCCTAAAAATAAGAAATGGATAACAGGGAAGATCAAACCTAATTGACTCATACTAAGGACTACAGGGAGAAAATCAGGGATATATACCAGAAGAGTAAAAAATTTGACTGACAGATAGAAGGAAAGATATAAAGAACTAGAGAAAAACTAAGGTTGGAAAAAGATATAAGGCTCATAATGTTAAAACTAATAGCAACAATTGCTTTTAATTATGTTAAATGTAAGCAGAATGTTAAAATGAAAATGGGACCCTTCAAGGATGCTGATGAAGACTATGAAATGGCCGAAATTTTAAATTTTGTTTTCTGTTTATACAAGAGAGAATGCTAGTGATATACTGAGTAATATGTAGAAAATAATGGAATTGACCTGAACTGTGATGATACTCCTTTGATGACATGTAAAAAGACAAACACTAAGTATAAAGCATGAGGACCATACAGAATTTTCTGAGGGTTAAATTTAAGAGATGTTAAAGATCATATACATCACCTTCTTTTATTTTTGGTACGCCAATAAGACAGTGAGCAAGTGCTCAAAATATGCATCAGTGTAATATGTGTAAGCTGGTCTCAGCTGCACTAACTACCAGACAATGCACCATGAAGCACAGAAGGTGGCAATCAGACTAGGTCACAATCAACACTGTTCTTGCCAGTCTTCTCCAACATCTACACCTGTTGGAAGTTATTTTGGAGGAACAATCAAGATTGGCAACAGATGGCATCCCTCAACTATGAACTGATGCCTTTGTCAAATCCTTACAAAAACCATAAAGAATCACTTGTCTTAAAGGCCAGAGAAGTGGAGAAAGCAACATAAAAAAAAGTCAAATATGCAGATAAGCAAGATACAAAATATGTAACAACCAAAGCTAATACATATCATCAGAGCTGTGTTATTGAAACTAGTTGGCTGAAATATGTAATAAAGATTCTACTTTTCAGTGTGCCAAAGAAAAAAATATTGTTTTTTTATTCTTAATACATTAGCAAAATGTGTCTGAAAAGAAATTATAGTAGTAAAATATGTTTAGTGCACTTTAATTTATTACTTTTGTAAATATGATTATTTGGCTACTCTTACATTTAAAGAGAACTTAGTTGTTGATGGTGTACATTCATAAGACGTTTTGTAAATATTAATACAATATATTTATTTAGGATTGCCATTGAAATACCTGACAATGCAGTGTCAACAACCGTTTTACCATAAACTATCATGGTCACCACAGTTTTCTATTATTTTCAAACACAGTGACCCAATGAGCAGTCTATATGTTAAAGATCACTGATAATTCATATTATCAATATTCTCCAAATCTAAACAAATATGTGTACTTCCCACTATATCATAATCTTACATTATATTTTGACTAAAGAACTGAACTCTCTTGTTTTATTCCTAATACTCCTAACACTAGAATAATGCCAATCAAATTTATTCTTGATCCTATTAAATTTATTTATAAATTTGAATAACGTTAACCTTTTCACACAGGTCATGGGTCAAAGGCTATGTCATCTTGTTTGTTGACTCGCATTCAAAATTTTATTGAACTACTATTTTATGAATTTATATCAGTAAGTTTGGTATCAAACTGTAGATTATAATTCAAATTTTAATATTATACATTATTTAATTTCTTAATTTAAAAGTAAATATTAAAAAAAAGCACCTAAACCTTGATTTTTGTGTATCGCATGGTATGTTAAATGCAACACTGGTTCAAATTAGATGTTTGTGATGTCAAAATACAAAGTCTATAGTTTCTTATGAATTAGTATTTCAAATTAGCCATATTAACAAAACAGAATATAAAATAAGAACCTCCTATCTCTTCTATTTGATGAGATATCGCTCCTGTTCTGATTCAAACACAATGGCCCCACTCACCACTTTTCAT